AATGTTACAGATTTAACCTTTTGGAAATGTAACAGATTTAACCTTATGGAAATGTAACAGATTTAACCTTATGGAAATGTAACAGATTTAACCTTACGGAAATGTAACAGATTTAACCTTATGGAAATGTAACAGATTTAACCTTATGGAAATGTAACAGATTTAACCTTATGGAAATGTAACAGATTTAACCTTACGGAAATGTAACAGATTTAACCTTATGGAAATGTAACAGATTTAACCTTATGGAAATGTAACAGATTTAACCTTATGGAAATGTAACAGATTTAACCTTACGGAAATGTAACAGATTTAACCTTATGGAAATGTAACAGATTTAACCTTATGGAAATGTAACAGATTTAACCTTATGGAAATGTAACAGATTTAACCTTACGGAAATGTTACAGATTTAACCTTACGGAAATGTAACAGATTTAACCTTATGGAAATGTAACAGATTTAACCTTATGGAAATGTAACAGATTTAACCTTATGGAAATGTAACAGATTTAACCTTACGGAAATGTTACAGATTTAACCTTACGGAAATGTAACAGATTTAACCTTATGGAAATGTAACAGATTTAACCTTATGGAAATGTAACAGATTTAACCTTATGGAAATGTAACAGATTTAACCTTACGGAAATGTTACAGATTTAACCTTACGGAAATGTTACAGATTTAACCTTTTGGAAATGTAACAGATTTAACCTTATGGAAATGTAACAGATTTAACCTTATGGAAATGTAACAGATTTAACCTTACGGAAATGTTACAGATTTAACCTTACGGAAATGTTACAGATTTAACCTTTTGGAAATGTAACAGATTTAACCTTATGGAAATGTAACAGATTTAACCTTATGGAAATGTAACAGATTTAACCTTACGGAAATGTAACAGATTTAACCTTACGGAAATGTTACAGATTTAACCTTACGGAAGTGTAACAGATTTAACCTTATGGAAATGTAACAGATTTAACCTTATGGAAATGTAACAGATTTAACCTTACGGAAATGTAACAGATTTAACCTTACGGAAATGTAACAGATTTAACCTTACGGAAATGTAACAGATTTAACCTTACGGAAATGTAACAGATTTAACCTTACGGAAATGTAACAGATTTAACCTTACGGAAATGTAACAGATTTAACCTTACGGAAATGTAACAGATTTAACCTTACGGAAATGTAACAGATTTAACCTTACGGAAATGTAACAGATTTAACCTTACGGAAATGTAACAGATTTAACCTTACGGAAATGTAACAGATTTAACCTTACGGAAATGTAACAGATTTAACCTTACGGAAATGTAACAGATTTAACCTTACGGAAATGTAACAGATTTAACCTTACGGAAATGTAACAGATTTAACCTTACGGAAATGTAACAGATTTAACCTTACGGAAATGTAACAGATTTAACCTTACGGAAATGTAACAGATTTAACCTTACGGAAATGTAACAGATTTAACCTTACGGAAATGTAACAGATTTAACCTTACGGAAATGTAACAGATTTAACCTTACGGAAATGTAACAGATTTAACCTTACGGAAATGTAACAGATTTAACCTTACGGAAATGTAACAGATTTAACCTTACGGAAATGTAACAGATTTAACCTTACGGAAATGTAACAGATTTAACCTTACGGAAATGTAACAGATTTAACCTTACAAAAATGTAACAGATTTAACCTTACGGAAGTGTAACAGATTTAACCTTACAGAAATGTAACAGATTTAACCTTACGGAAATGTAACAGATTTAACCTTACGGAAATGTAACAGATTTAACCTTACAAAAATGTAACAGTTTTAACCTTACGGAAGTGTAACAGATTTAACCTTACAAAAATGTAACAGATTTAACCTTACGGAAATGTAACAGATTTAACCTTACGGAAATGTAACAGATTTAACCTTACAAAAATGTAACAGATTTAACCTTACGGAAGTGTAACAGATTTAACCTTACAAAAATGTAACAGATTTAACCTTACGGAAATGTAACAGTTTTAACCTTACGGAAGTGTAACAGTTTAAACCTTACGAAAAGTAAAAGATTTACTTTACGGAAACGAAACAGATTAAACCCTACTAACTGGTCACGGATTTGACCCTAGGGAAATGTAACGGATTTAACCTAACGTAAATGAATAAGACTTAATAATACGGAAAAGTGACAGATTTGACCCACTGGAAATGAAATAGCTTTAACCCTCCGGAAATAAAATTGGTTCACCCAACAGAAATGAAATAGTTTTAACCCTACGGTAATGTACCAGATTTCACCCTTCGGAAGTGTAACAGATTTAACCTTACGGAAGTGTAACAGATTTAACCTTACGGAAGTGTAACAGATCTAACCTTATGAAAAGTAATTAGTTTTTAACCTTACGGAAGTGTAACAGATTCAGTTTGACGAAAATGAAATAGTGTTTACATTACAAGAACGTTTCAGATTTATTTACGGAAAAGTTACAGATTTAAACATACGGAAAGGCAACAAATGTTACGGAAATGAGAGTGAATCCTACTAATAAGTCACGGATTTAACCCTAGGGAAATATAACAGATTTAACCTGATGTAGATGTAACGGATTTAACCTAACGGAAATTATCAGATTTTACCCTACGGACATGTAACAGATTTTTACGTACGGAAATAAAACAGATTTATCGCTCCGGAAATGAAACAGCGTTAACCCTATGGAAATGTAACTGATTTATTTAACCTTACGGAAATGTACCACATTTAACCCGACGGAAATGTAACGAAACGAAAATGTAAAATGGTAAAAGCTAGTGTTGAACCTGTTATATTTCCGAAATGTGGTTCAATACCTGTAAGGTTAGAATTGTCATGTTTTTGCAGGGTTCAATTCGTTACATTGCAGTAGGATTAATTCTGTTATATTGCAGTAGGGTTAAATCTGTTATATTGCAGTAGGGTTAAATCTGTTACATTGCAGTAGGGTTAATTCTGTTACATTCCAGTAGGTTTAAATCTGTTACATTGCAGTAGGGTTAATTCTGTTTCGTTGCAGTAGGGTAAAATCTGTTACATTGCAGTAGGGTTAATTCTGTTACATTGCAGTAGGGTTAAATCTGTTACATTGCAGTGGGGTAAAATCTGTTATAATGCAGTAGGGTTAAATCTGTAAAATTGCAGTAAGGGTAAAATCTGTTACATTGCAGTAGGGTAAAAATCTGTTACATTGCAGTAGGGTAAAATCTGTTACATTGCATTAGGGTAAAATCTGTTACATTGCATTAGGGTAAAATCTGTTACATTGCAGTAGGGTAAAAATCTGTTACATTGCAGTAGGGTAAAATCTGTTACATTGCAGTAGGGTTAAATCTGTTACATTGCAGTAGGGTAAAATCTATTACATTGCAGTAGGGTAAAATCTGTTACATTGCAGTAGGGTTAAATCTGTTACATTGCAGTAGGGTGAATTCTGTTACATTGCAGTAGGGTCAATTATGTTACATTGCAGTAGGGTTAATTCTGTTACATTGCCGTAGGGTTAATTCTGTTACGTTGCAGTAGGGTTAATTCTGTTACATTGCAGTAGCGTTAATTCTGTTACATTGCAGTAGGGTCAAATCTGTTACAATGCAGTAGGGTTAATTCTGTTACATTGCCGTAGGGTTAATTCTGTTACGTTGCAGTAGGGTTAAATCTGTTACATTCCAGTAGGGTTAAATCTGTTACATTGCAGTAGAATTAATTCTGTTTCGTTGCAGTGGGGTTAAATCTGTTACATTGCAATAGGGTTAATTCTGTTACATTGCAGTAGGGTTAATTCTGTTACATTGCAGTAGGGTTAAATCTGTTATATTGCAGTAGGGTTAACTCTGTTACATTGCAGTAGGGTAAAATCTGTTATGATGCAGTAGGGTTAAATCTGTTACATTGCAGTAGGGTAAAATCTGTTACATTGCAGTAGGGTAAAATCTGTTACATTGCATTAGGGTAAATCTGTGGCATTTAAAAAGGTTTGATCCTTTAAAATTTCTGAAGCGTTAAATCTGTTACATTTCCGTACAGTTCATTCTGTTACATTTCCGTAGGGTTAAATTTGTAACAATTTAGTAAGTGCATATATGTTATCTTTTCAAAGAGTTAAATCTATTACACTTTCGTTGGATAAAATCTGTTCTATTTCAGTAAGGTTAGATCTGTTTTTATTTACGTAATGTTAAGACTGTAACGAAAATGTAACAGAATGAACCCTCCGGATATGTAATGGATTTCACCTTACGGAAATGTATTTTTTTTTTATATCTAGTGTTGAATCTGTTACATGTATATTTCCGAAGGGGTAAATGTCCTGTAAGATTAAATCTATTACTGTTCCGATTCACCCTACATATATGTGATAGATTTAACCCTATGGAAATTACGCCTATGCAGCTGTACCGAAATGTAACATATAATACACTAAATCAATATACCAGATCCAACACTGCAAAAATATAACACATTAAAACCTGCAGAAGTGAACTTGATTCAACACTACAGAAATGTTAGATATTGAACCCTATGAAATTTTACAGATTTACCCCTAGTTAAAGGATTTAACTTCAACTGAAATTGCACACATGAACCCCTACAGAAGGTAATAGGTGTATCTCCAACTGAAATTACACACATGAACCCCTACGGAAGGTAATGGGTGTATCTCCAACTAAAATTACACTAAGAAAATGTAACAGATTTTACACTACGGAAATTTAAGATTCAACATTGACGAGATGTCATAGGCCTAATCCTTTCGCAATATGTACGGTTTGAACGTTACGGAAACGAAACCGATTTAACCCTACGAAGTTATAATAGATGTAACTGTAAGGTAACACAACTGATATATTCATGCGGTATTGTAACAGATTTAAACTTACGAAAAAAGTGGTTATGATTGGACATGTTTGTGGTAACAGATTAAATCATACGGAAATGTAACAAATCAAGCCCTACGGAAGTGATACAGGTCCCAACCTTACGGGGATGTAACAAATCAAGCCCTACGGAAGTGATACAGGTCCCAACCTTACGGGGATGTAACAAATCAAGCCCTACGGAAGTGATACAGGTCCCAACCTTACGGGGATGTAACAAATCAAGCCCTACGGAAGTGATACAGGTCCCAACCTTACGGGGATGTAACAAATCAAGCCCTACGGAAGTGATACAGGTCCCAACCTTACGGGGATGTAACAAATCAAGCCCTACGGAAGTGATACAGGTCCCAACCTTACGGGGATGTAACAAATCAAGCCCTACGGAAGTGATACAGGTCCCAACCTTACGGGGATGTAACAAATCAAGCCCTACGGAAGTGATACAGGTCCCAACCTTACGGGGATGTAACAAATCAAGCCCTACGGAAGTGATACAGGTCCCAACCTTACGGGGATGTAACAAATCAAGCCCTACGGAAGTGATACAGGTCCCAACCTTACGGGGATGTAACAAATCAAGCCCTACGGAAGTGATACAGGTCCCAACCTTACGGGGATGTAACAAATCAAGCCCTACGGAAGTGATACAGGTCCCAACCTTACGGGGATGTAACAAATCAAGCCCTACGGAAGTGATACAGGTCCCAACCTTACGGGGATGTAACAAATCAAGCCCTACGGAAGTGATACAGGTCCCAACCTTACGGGGATGTAACAAATCAAGCCCTACGGAAGTGATACAGGTCCCAACCTTACGGGGATGTAACAAATCAAGCCCTACGGAAGTGATACAGGTCCCAACCTTACGGGGATGTAACAAATCAAGCCCTACGGAAGTGATACAGGTCCCAACCTTACGGGGATGTAACAAATCAAGCCCTACGGAAGTGATACAGGTCCCAACCTTACGGGGATGTAACAAATCAAGCCCTACGGAAGTGATACAGGTCCCAACCTTACGGGGATGTAACAAATCAAGCCCTACGGAAGTGATACAGGTCCCAACCTTACGGGGATGTAACAAATCAAGCCCTACGGAAGTGATACAGGTCCCAACCTTACGGGGATGTAACAAATCAAGCCCTACGGAAGTGATACAGGTCCCAACCTTACGGGGATGTAACAAATCAAGCCCTACGGAAGTGATACAGGTCCCAACCTTACGGGGATGTAACAAATCAAGCCCTACGGAAGTGATACAGGTCCCAACCTTACGGGGATGTAACAAATCAAGCCCTACGGAAGTGATACAGGTCCCAACCTTACGGGGATGTAACAAATCAAGCCCTACGGAAGTGATACAGGTCCCAACCTTACGGGGATGTAACAAATCAAGCCCTACGGAAGTGATACAGGTCCCAACCTTACGGGGATGTAACAAATCAAGCCCTACGGAAGTGATACAGGTCCCAACCTTACGGGGATGTAACAAATCAAGCCCTACGGAAGTGATACAGGTCCCAACCTTACGGGGATGTAACAAATCAAGCCCTACGGAAGTGATACAGGTCCCAACCTTACGGGGATGTAACAAATCAAGCCCTACGGAAGTGATACAGGTCCCAACCTTACGGGGATGTAACAAATCAAGCCCTACGGAAGTGATACAGGTCCCAACCTTACGGGGATGTAACAAATCAAGCCCTACGGAAGTGATACAGGTCCCAACCTTACGGGGATATAACAAATCAAGCCCTACGACGTGATACAGGTCCAAACCTTACGGGGATGTAACAAATCAAGCCCTACGGAAGTGATACAGGTCCCAACCTTACGGGGATATAACAAATCAAGCCCTACGACGTGATACAGGTCCAAACCTTACGGGGATGTAGCAAATCAAGCCCTACGACGTGATACAGGTCCAAACCTTACGGGGATGTAACAAATCAAGCCCTACGACGTGATACAGGTCCAAACCTTACGAAATACACAGATAAAACCATACGGAAATGTTACTGATTTAAATCTTAAGAAATCTAAAAATAAATACAACTAACGAAAATATGTAACAGATTCAACCCTGTGAAAATATATCTGTTTGAACCCTACTAAAATATTACCGTTTCAGACTTACGGAAATGTTCACAGATTAAACACTACGGAAAAGTTACATATTTAACGCCATTGAAGTGAAACAATTTTGGTCATACGGAAATGTATCATATTCAACACTTCCGAAATGTAACCCTACGGAAACGTAACAAAAAAAACCTACGGACACGTACCAAAAATAACCCTATGGACACATACCAAAAATAACACTACGGACACATACCAAAAATAACACTACGGACACGTACCAAATACAACCCTACGGAAATGTACCAAAAATAACCCTACGGTCACGTAATAAAATAACCCTACGGAAACGTAACAAAAATAACCCCACGGAAATGTACCAAAAATAATCCTACGGAAACGTTACAAAAATAACACTACGGACACGTACCAAAAATAACCCTACGGACGCGTACCAAAAATAACCCTACAGACGCGTACCAAAAATAACCCTACGGAAACGTTACAAAAATAACCCTACGGAAACGTAATAAAAATAACCCTACGGACACGTACTAAAAATAACCCTACGAACACTTACCAAAATAAAACCTACTGACACGTAATAAAAATAACCCTACGGAAATGTAATAAAAATAACCCTACGGAAATGTAACAAAAATAACCCTACGGACACGTAACAAAAATAACCCTACGGAAATGTACCAAAAATAACCCTACGGAGCTGTAATAAAAAAAAACCTACGGAAATGTACCAAAAATAACCTTACGGACACGTAACAAAAATAACACTACAGAAATGTACCAAAAATAACCTTACGGACACGTCATAAAAATAACCCTACGGAAAGGTACCAAAAATTACCCTACGGAAACGTTACAAAAATAACACTACGGACACTTACAGTACCAAAAATAACCCTACGGACACGTAATAAAAATAACCCAACGGAAATGTACCAAAAATAACCCTACGGAAACGTAATAAAAATAACCCTACGGAAAGGTACCAAAAATAACCCTACGGAAATGTACCAAAAATAACCCTACGGACACGTAACAAAAATAACCCTACGGAAATGTACCAAAAATAACCCTACGGAAATGTAACAAAAATAACCCTACGAAAATGTAACAGAGTTAAACTGACAAAAATTTAAAAAATTCAAAGTGGAATGAGTAATTTATTCCACACAGATATTTGTTGATTTTTAAACTTTAAACATATTTATTGCCAATAAAATTGAACAAGGGATTTGGCACAAGTTAATACAACTTATCACAGCCTCCTACCGTCATACATTTACAATTACATGTCAACAATGATAATAGGCATAAACATGAAGTAGAAACTTGTGCCCAACTCCCATTGTATATAAATTACAATAAAATAGGTTTAAATAAAAAAAGGAAGTAGATATATACATGATATTCACACAGGTACAAATACACAACTTTAAAAAAGCACCGTTCAAAATCTTTTGCTGGATTTGTTGAAGTGATGCACATGTCTAAAAACGTAAGAGTTAAGGTCTACCAAAAGATCTGGATTGCCAAACAAAAGAATCTCTAAATATAAATCTATACCTAAGGTATTCAAATTTTGAAACAAAATACGCCTTTCATTGCCAAAAAGTTGACACTCAAAGAAAAAGTGAAAGGCATTCTCACATGGATGTCCACAGATGCAAAATGGAATCTCGACAAGATTAACTCTGTAAATGTCATACTTAAGGGAACTACAATTTGTTAATCCTACAGAATTGTAACAAGATGGGAAGGTAACAGCCTTAAAGTTACGGAAATGTTAGTTATTTTCTTCTGAAGTGTATCAGACTAAATTCTATGGAAATGTAACAGTTTCACGTTACAGTCTTTAACCATACAGAAATGTGGTAGTGTTTTACCATACAGAAAAGTGGTAGTGTTTTACCATACAGAAATGTGGTAGTGTTTTACCATACGGAAATGTGGTAGTGTTTTACCATACGGAAATGTGGTAGTGTTTTACCATACAGAAATGTGGAAGTGTTTTACCATACAGAAATGTAGTAGTATTTTACCATACGGAAATGTGGTAGTGTCTTACCATACAGAAATGTGGTAGTGTTTTACCATACGGAAATGTGGAAGTGTTTTACCATACAGAAATGTGGTAGGGTTTTACCATACAGAAATGTGGAAGTGTTTTACCATACAGAAATGTGGAAGTGTTTTACCATACAGAAATGTGGTAGTGTTTTACCATACGGAAATGTGGTAGTGTTTTACCATACGGAAATGTTGTAGTGTTTTACCATACAGAAATGTTGTATTTTATAACCATATGGAAATTAATATATAGCTTTTGACTAAACGGAAATGTTGTAGATTTAAAAATATGGAACTATTGTAGCTAAACATACGGAAATGTGGTAGTTGCCGTCGAAGTATTGCAGTTTTTAACCTACGGAATGATTACAGTTTTAACCTACGGAATGATTACAGTTTTAATTACCGAAACGTGGTAGTTTTTAACCTACGGAACTATTGTAATTTTAACCTTACGGAAACGTGGTAGTTTTTAACCTGAGGAACTATTGTCGTTTTACCTTACAGAAACGTGGTAGTTTTTAACCTACGGATATTGTCGTTTTAATTTAACGGAAACGTGGCAGTTTTTAACCTACGAACTATTGTAGTTTTAACCTTACGGAAACGTGGTAGTTTTTTACCACACAGGAAAGTGGTAGTGTTTTGCCATACAGAAATGTTGTAGTGCTTTACCTTACGGAAATGTGGTAATGTTTTTATCATACGGAAATGTGGAAGTGTTTTGCCATACAAAAATGTGGAAGTGTTTTACCCTACGGAAATGTGGTAGTGTTTTACCATACAGAAATGTGGTAGTTTTTAACCTACGAACTATTGTAGTTTTAACCTTACGGAAACGTGGTAGTTTTTTACCACACACAAAAGTGGTAGTGTTTTGCCATACAGAAATGTGGTAGTGTTTTACCATACAGAAATGTGGTAGTTTTTAACCTACGAACTATTGTAGTTTTAACCTTACGGAAACGTGGTAGTTTTTTACCACACACAAAAGTGGTAGTGTTTTGCCATACAGACATGTGGTAGTGTTTTACCATACAGAAAAGTGGTAGTGTTTTACCATACAGAAATGAGGTAGTGTTTTACCATACAGGAATATGGTCGTGTTTTTACCATACGGAAATGTGGTAGAGTTTTACCATACGGAAATGTTGTAGTGTTTTACCATACAGAAATGTGTTAGTGTTTTACCATACAAAATGTGGTAGTGTTTGACCATACGGAAATGTGGTAGTGTTTTACCATACAGAAATGTGGTAGTGTTTTACCATACAGGAATATGGTAGTGTTTTTACCATACGGAAATGTGGTAGTGTTTTTACAATACGGGAATGTGGAAGTGTTTTACCATACAAAAATGTGGTAGTGTTTTACCATACAGGAATATGGTAGTGATTTTTACCATACGGAAATGTGGGAGTGTTTTTACAATACGGGAATGTGGAAGTGTTTTACCATACAAAAATGTGGTAGTGTTTTACCATACGGAAATGTGGTAGTGTTTTACCATACAGAAATCTGGTAGTGTTTTACCATACAGAAATGTGGTAGTGTTTTACCATACAGGATTATGGTAGTGTTTTACCATACAGAAATGTGGTAGTGTTTTACCATACAGAAATGTGGTAGTGTTTTACCATTCAGAAATGTGGTAGTGCTTTACCATACAAAAATGTGGTCGTGTTTTACCATACAGAAAAGTGGTAGTGTTTTACCATACAGAAATGTTGTAGTGTTTTACCATACAGAAATGTTGTATTTTTTAACCATATGGAAATTAATATATAGTTTTTGACTAAACGGAAATGTGGTAGATTTAAAAATATGGAACTATTGTAGCTAAACATACGGAAATGTGGTAGTTGCCGTCGAAGTATTGCAGTTTTTAACCTATTGTAATTTTAACCTTACGGAAACGTGGTAGTTTTTAACCTTCGGAACTATTGTCGTTTAACCTAACTGAAACGTGGTAGTTTTTAACCTGCGGAACTATTGTAGTTTGTTTTTTTACCTTACGGAAACATGTCAGTTTTAACAAGATGGAATCGAACCATACACAAATGTGGAATTTTTCTGTGCCGTAATATAATAGTTTTAACCATGCAAAATCGAGACAGTATAATCATGTAGAAACGCATTATTCAAACTCAAAATCGATAAAACTAGGAAAAGTATCAACAAAGGAAAGCTTTACACGAAGAACCTTGAAAATAGTGAGGTTAATGATTAGCAAGTGGTCCGAATAGATAAGTGTAGCTTGCTTCATCGCCGTCATTCACGTATCTAAGTCGAATCCAGGGTATGATACGTTCTCAAAGAGCGGACCGGGGTAGTGTCGACGATACCACGAGAAACACTAACGAGAACAATCACAGACGTGGACAGCTAGTCTTCACAGGGAAACATTGTATACACCATTGGAATACCTATGTTAAAGAATAATAGTTTAAGCCAGACGGACATTAAACAGCTTTAGTCACACGAAAAAGATGCAGCTTTAACGCACCGAAACCGGTCGGAAATGTTATACATTTTGGTAGCTGTGAGTTTTCAATAGACGGGATTTGTTTTAGCTATACTGAAACGTAATATGTTTGACCATTGAGAAATGTTACGCTTTAACCATACGGAAATGAAAGAACATTAATCCAATGGTAAGTAAGAAAGTACATTGTAATAATAGTCTTTAAAAACCGCCAAACAAATACAGAATTTACTGCACTGTATGGTCATTTCTTTTATTGGAGACTCATGATATGTTTAATACTATAGTATATAAATGTATACATGCCAAAATATATTCCAGCTACTAAGTGGCCAACCTTGCTGACTGTTAGTCCACCAGCAAAGTCAACCACATGAAATGTAAAAAGGAATTATAATAATACTGCTTTATCACAGTCTAGTTCGTAGGTCGTCTCAATGCGGTTCACAATTTAATTGCATACTCTCTAAAAATGCTGTTGGTCACCATTAAAAAATTATCCTACTATCAGGATATCGGCTGGCAGAATCGTATTGTTTATAGGAACTGGGCAATGACTTAGCACTCATTTTTAAATGGAATTAGTACCAGGGTTAAATTCTATCAGACATCGAAGGAACGATCGTCTCCAAAATAAACAATCTTACTTTATATACATGTACACAGTTTTACCCCATGTCATCAATCTTACTTTATATACACAGTATTACCCCGTGTCGTCAATCTTACTTTATATACACAGTATTACCCCGTGTCGTCAATCTTACTTTATAAACACAGTTTTACCCCGTGTCGTCAATCTTACTTTATATACACAGTATAAGCCCGTGTCATCAATCTTACATTATATAAACAGTTTTACCCCGTGTCGTCAATCTTACTTTATATACACAGTAATACCCCGTTTCGTCAATCTTACTTTATATACACAGTATTACCCCGTGTCGTCAATGTTACTTTATATACACCGTAATACCCCGTGTCGTCAATGTTACTTTATATACACGGTAATACCCCGTTTCGTCAATCTTACTTCATATACACAGTTTTATCCCGTGTCGTCAATCATACTTTATATACACAGCATTACCCCGTGTCGTCAATCTTACTTTATATACACAGTTTTACCCCGCGTTATCAATCTAACTTTGTATAAACAGTTTCACCCCGTGTCATCAATCTTACTTTATATAAACAGTTTTTGCCCGTGTCATCAATCTTTCTTGATATACACAGTTTTATCCCGTGTCGTCAATCTTACTTTACATAAACAGTTTTACCCCTTGTCATCAATCTTACTTTATATACACAGTTTTACCCCGTGTCGTCAATCTTACTTTATATACACAATTTTACCCCGCGTTATCAATCTTACTTTGTAAAAACGGTTTCACCCCGTGTCATCAATCTTACTTTATATAAACAGTTCTTCCCCGTGTCATCAATCTTTCTTGATATACACAGTTTTACCCCGTGTCGTCAATCTTACTTTATATAAACAGTTTTACCCCGTGTCACCAATCTTACTTTATTTACACAGTTTTACCCCGTGTCATCAATCTTACTTCACATAAACAGTTTTACCCCGTGTCGTCAGAGAATCGAACACATTTTCTTTTTTCAATAAGTTTTATAGACTAACACAGTACATAATCACTTTTCACTTCTTATTACAATGTATGACTTCGCGACAAGGACAACTGTTCAGAAAATCTTCTCTCCTCAAACAACTCCGAATCCTCTCTTCCCAAACAACTCCGAATCCTCTCTTCTCAAACAACTCCGAATCCTCTCTTCTCAAACAACTCCGAATCCTCTCTTCTCAAACAACTCCGAATCCACTCTTCCCAAACAACTCCGAATCCTCTCTTCCCAAACAACTCCAAATCCTCTCTTCTCAAACAACTCAGAATCCTCTCTCCTCAAACAACTCCGAATCCTCTCTCCTCAAACAACTCCAAATCATCTCTTCCCAAACAACTCCGAATCCTCTCTCCTCAAACAACTCCGAATCCTCTCTTCCCAAACAACTCCGAACCCTCTCTCCTCAAACAACTGCGAATCCTCTCTTCTCAAACAACTCCAAATCCTCTCTCCCCAAACAACTCCAAATCCTCTCTCCGCAAACAACTCCGAATCCTCTCTCTTCAAACAACTCCGAATCCTCTCTCTTCAAACAACTCCGAATCCTCTCTTCTCAAACAACTCCGAATCCTCTCTCCTCAAACAACTGCGAATCCTCTCTTCTCAAACAACTCCAAATCCTCTCTCCTCAAACAACTCCGAATCATCTCTCCTCAAACAACTCCGAATCCTCTCTCCTCAAACAACTCCGAATCCTCTCTTCTCAAACAACTCCAAATCCTCTCTCCTCAAACAACTCCGAATCTTCTCTCCTCAAACAACTCCGAACCCTCTCTCCTCAAACAACTCCGCTGCAAGGTTTAGGTCAAACATTTGGTAACTCGTCTCTATAATGTTTTCCGGGTTAGCCATTAACTCAAAAACCTGCATTACGAAGACGTGTTAAGAGTGACTTTAGAACTTTAGAAAACATTCTAACCACTTGGATCATATCAATTTACATTTTTCAATTAACTCGTTAATCAGGTTTAAAAACTATAAATTGAATATTTAGAAATCTAGCGATATTGTATATATTATCTGTGGACACATTGTTGTACCCTTTATTTGTTTTCGTTGTGATGTGTTCATTATGGTAACCATGGTAACTCTGAGTTATGTGCATGGGAAATACTTCGTTATCTATTTTTCTCTTACTATTTTAACACATATAATTTTAACACTTATAATTTGTTCAGTTTTAATCTAAATCGCATATTAACATTTCGGTAGATATACAAGATGATTTGTTCAACTATTTTCATAATCACGTTTATCTACACAAATCATCTCAATGAAGTCGGTTTGAGCACAGAATACAAACTTGACCTAAAAATGGTTTCATGAATAGTGCCCATTGTCTCAAGTTAGCAAGGACTCTGGAACTGGAATTAATTAAAAGAAAATGTTCAAAGTTTAAAAGTATTTATATTTGATTTAAAAAAAAAACCCATTTTAACAAGATATGAAGTTGTTAAGGTTGTTGATAAGTAACAAAATAGGAGTTTGATTGCCTATATATACCTTGTAGTCACTGTTGTCAGTTTTATTGTCCATGTATTTATTTAAGGGATGGCATTTATTTACCACATAACAACATTGGGTTCCTGGACATATTCCATTAATCACGTTATTATTAGTAGTTTATCCCTAACAGTTCCGCGGTTTTATCCGTAGGGATTGACGAATGCCCAATAACCTAGACTTTACGTGTCCTGGTCGTTTACCAATAGTATACACCAGTACCAAGTCAGAATGCTACACTTACAAACATGCAACTTAAAAGCTTGAAACACACATGTGTACATCGTTTCTAGTGATATTGTTTATTTGTGCATTTTCCAACATTTTATGTCTGAAGGGTACATTATTTCAAGGTCAAATCTCATTGTTTATACAGTAATCTATCTTATTAACGAATTTATATGAAACGTGGGTCTTAAAAAGGAACTATTGTAAATATCCTATATTTTTTAATAGATATCTCAAATATTTTACAGGATATGTACCATATTTAATATCATAAATGAAATTTCATATGTTATACGAATTATTTTGATTAATATATAAGACATCTTCTATATTATATACCTTGAGCAGAACATGATATATATCAGGNGGATATGTACCATATTTAATATCATAAATGAAATTTCATATGTTATACGAATTATTTTGATTAATATATAAGACATCTTCTATATTATATACCTTGAGCAGAACATGATATATATCAGGATGATCTATTGTGACATAAAAAAGATAATTTACAAAATTTAGAAGATGTCTTATAATTTCATTCAAACATGATCGATAGTGCTTCTAGAATAAATGTTATAAGTTGGCTTGCCATAGTGACGTGTACTTTTATTACTGGTGAGAATGTATGCTTGTTTATGCTGCTGTTTATCTACCAATTAAAATGTTTAGTAGAAGAATCTGTATCAGACGTAAGCTTGCCTTTCCCGTTTTTATCGATTAACGAATAAAACAGCGTTTAAACTAAGATGTTCGCCCAGTACTATGGGCAGCCCTCCGTAACTATACCGTACACGGCTCGTAATCGACAGCGTTACCGATCTGGTATTAATGGTTACGGCCACAATTTGTGTTTTATTATTTTGGAAAACATTTGCCAGAAACTGGCGGTACTCGTGACGAATTACAAGGGTACAATTAGTAACAATTAGTAACAAAATTGATTTCATTGTTCCTTGGGTAATTATAAAGATTACGTAATAGTGACGCCTTACTGCCGCAAATCAGCCTCGGTTACCAGCGCTGGAGTATTGTTTACTGGAGTGAAGATCTGTCGGCACCTTCTCTCCCTTACTTACACTCCACAGAGATCGCAGAAAGACAAATTATGGATTTATATGGAAAACATTCAATTACAAAATCCAATATCAATTTAGATTTTTTTTGCAAAAGCAGCATATCCTTTCATTAAAGAAGAACCGTGATTAATTCAATCATACTGTTACCCCGAAGGAAATAACAGTTAAGTCCATTTGCATTTACGAGCGTCGAAATACGATGTTCAGTAATAGACGCTCGTGTAGCGGTCAAAGTGACGCTTAATAGGTAGGCAGTCAATTACAAGGCAGCGTTAGCTCAGCACATTTATCTGTAACTGTGACATATTGTATATAGAGTATCGATCCGAGACGGCCGCTTACGCTCCACTGCCTACGGAATATCCGGTATCAGGAACCTGATTGTCAGGCGGCATGGACTAAAGTCCATGGCGGGCCATTAAGCTGAAAGCACATTGATAATCGTGGCGATCTACTAATCATTGGCGGGTCATAGACTTTAGTTTTACGTAGATCTGACCGCTATCTACCTGGACACTGACCATGATGTGTTTCCCCGGGAGGGTATTACACAGCCCACTGACCACAACCCATTACATTTGAATTTTATGAATATTTAGCAGTTCCCAATTCCGTCGCTTCCCGTGACGCGGACTTCGAGACCATGACGTATCGATCTATCTCGCGAATACCCGCCCGTGGGGACAGTTGTTACACCTGTTTGGGGAGAATATCAGCGTTATTGGTTGATGTTATCCATTAAGAAGTATATTCTATAATGAGTAACATACATGTATTTTCATTGGCCGGATATTTTAGTCAAACAACGACACACAAATATTATATACATGTATATTATAGATATCAACTTCGTAATTTACCTACAATATATGTTTTATTGTGTATGCCTTTTCCTGAAAAGATATTATTATTGACTACAGCACGCCTCGTAGAACACGTGTAGGCTAATCAAAGTTCAAACTACTCTGGTAAATCGCTTTAGGAAATAATCTATTTTCAAATAAAAAATATCAGAGAGTGGTCCCTCTGAAAACAAACAATCCGATAATCTGAAAAGGGATTTTTTTTCCCAATCCGCCGAATCCCACAAGTCGCCACATCGCACGTTATTTAGTAAAGAAATCGACAGCTCGTAGGAAAAACAGGAACAAACAAATGAATTCTCTGGTGTCAACTATATTTATCAAAGCTCATTTTACTTTATGTTACACACATATATAGTCAAAGATGTGATAAACGGTAACTTCCTAAATAACACGGACTCCTTTATAAATGGTAAACAGAATGTATTTACACACTTGTATATTTTCTAAATGATGTGTCGTATGTAAGTATGACATATAGTCACTATATACAAGGTGT